CCCCAAAACCCCAAAACCCCAAAACCCCAAAACCCCTTTATTAAATCACTAACTTGAATAATAAATAATAAGAAAATAATGGTGAGTATTTTCCACTTCATATTCAATCCATTTTCTATCAAAGTTGCCTCTTCTTTAATCTTCATGTTCTGTCTATTCAATACCTTTAGTTATATCCTCCGACAGAGATCTATTTAGCTTTAGAATTCCTCTAAGTTATTTTAAATAAATGTTATAATATTCCTTCAGAGTCACACCACAAGTTGCCAATGAGATATAGAAAAAGGTAATTTGGATGACAAAAAGCATATCTGATCTCTAAATATAGCTGTGCACCAGTGAGGATTTGAACAGATATTTTGATTCATAAATATTGTGTATGCATTTGTTTATTACCTAAATTTTACTGGGAATAATAAAGCATCACTCACAAATATAAGAATCCTAGTTTTATGCCTCGCATTGGTTCAGATTAAGCCATTGCTGATGAAGTTTGAAATCCTTCCTCTTATAGCAAGAATAATGGAATCAGTGATAGCTTTAACAATAATACCTAAGCTACTACACCATTATTCTCTAAAGAATCAGATGATTATTCACCTTAAAGAGGAGTCAAATAAGTTGAAGGATTCCTTCAGAATTGTGCTAGATAACCTACCTTATGGGATTATCTTCTGAGATAACAAGGAAGGAGTGATGCACGTCAATAAGTTCTGGGTTCAGAATCAGAACCGATTTGAGTCTAAAATTAATAACCAACATTCTGGAGGCCAAAGAGAACCGGAATTTGAAAATGGAAAGGTAGAGATAGACCAAGAAAATTGTGCTAAGACATATGATATGCTGAAAAGATTCAGGTCTAAGTTAAACCCAACACTTACTCTGAACGACTTGGTTATGCAACTTAAGAATGATGCAAACAAGGCTGATGATAAAATATTTGACATTGAAGATAGCTTATTTAACAATAGTTTTGATTTCAGTGGGAACAATGAGATTATTACTGACCTCACAGAAGAGGATTGGGGATGAAGTATGGATAAAGTCAAAGAGCTAACAGTGACATGAGATTTGTTCAATCCACCAAAAGAATTCACTTGTTTCATCACCTCCTGTCCTTTCCTTACTAAGAACAAAGTGATGGTAGTGTTCAGCGACATTAGTGAAAGAGTTCAATTTAAGATTTCAAAAATGTCTGAGAGAATAAAGACAGTAATGTTCCGATCAATCTCTCATGAGCTTAGATCTCCTCTAAATCATATATCAGGGATGTTATCCCTCCTGAAATCCAAGTTAATCACTGAAGAACAGAAAAGCTTGATTTGAATTGCTGAGTGCTCTACTGAATTACTCAAAATGAAGATTGATGATATCCTCGATTTTTATGAGATAGAATCAGGAAGCTTCATTGTGAAGAAAGACCAATTCGACGTCAGAGCTCAATGTAGAGAGTTAGAATCTGTATTTCTACCTCTCATGAACACACAGAAAATAAAACTGTTATTTTATGTAAACGAGTGTATCCCTGAGTTAATAGTTCATGATGCAAGAAGGATCCATAAAATACTTGTCAACCTCATTGGGAACTCTATCAAATACACTCGATCAGGAGCGATAGTCGTCACTATTGATTGAAAAGAGAATAAGAGCATAGATAAGTCTTGGAAATACAGAATAAAATACTGAGTTAGTGATACAGGAAGAGGTATCAGCAAGAATAAGCATGATCTATTCAGCTTTCTCAACCCTGATGGCATCAATATGTCTTCTAGTAGTCAAGATGACACAACAACTCTTGGAGGCACTGGCCTTGCAATCACTCAGAAAATTGCTGACCAAATAGGTACAAGAGTTGAATTTGAATCTAGAGTAAAAGTTGGATCCTCATTCTGGTTTACAGTCGATATTTCAGAAATTTACGGTATAAAAATAGAGAACTCCAAAAATGTTAAAGAGCCTATTCTGCCTAGAGAGAGCTTGAACCTTGCTCATAAAGTGTTGAAATCCATAGAAGAGAACAAAGAGGATAATCCTCTTCCTTTCATCATCGAGCAGTCACTATTTGTTGAGGAAAAGGTTGGGTCTAAGTTCATAAATATTAAATCAGGGCGAAGTGCTTTAAACGTGCTTAGTTTTAGTTCAAACAGTATTTGTAAGCCATTCTCTAACCCGTAGCTGATTCTGAAGATAGTGAGATTAGCGAAGAAAGCAAACATATGAAGAAATCTTCAGTCAACAAAAGTTCTAATTTGGTCATCAAAGTTGTGAAAGCTGACAAAATTAAAGAGAATTTTTGAGAGTATTTTTAATCTAAATATTTAGAAGTGAAAGCTCTTTGCCTAATGAAGAAGGAGGCTGAGTTCACAAAATTCCTAATTTCCTTAAATCAGCCACTATTCATGAGAGAGAATTTAGGAAATTTGAAAATATTAGTGCTAGAAGAGAAATAATTGAGGAGAGAAAAGAAGATAAAATAAACTCTAACCTTAGTATTCAACTAGATAATGATTCTATATCTGAAGGATACTCTAAAGGAGAAATTTCATTAATGCACAAACTGAACTCTCTAAAACTTGAAATGATGGACCAAAATATTCACACATTATCTTGTCCACAAAATAAAGCATCGAACGTACTGTTCCCTATTACAAAGCCTCATAACAGGCCTTCAAAATTCATGAATGTACTTTGTACTATAATTTCTCTAGAAATCTCCTGATTACATTGACAAGGAATCCATGATGAAAAGAAGTAAAGGAAAGAAGGCTTTCTCAAAAGAGGAATCCAGTCTAATGTAATCTCCCGCCATAATCTCTAGGGTCAACAAACTGGGATTAGGTAACCTTGCTAGTATAAGAAGAGAGCGAGCTAAGTCAAGGACAGATCTTAGAGGAATTGTTAAGTTCGCAGAGGTCATCGATACTGAAAACCCCATTATATCTCCTATGTACAAAAGATCTTGTCAATGCCCAGGGATTTTAATAGTTGATGACCAGTATATTAACAGATATATTATTGTCCAGTATGCTCAAAAGTATGACATTCCATGAGACGAAGCTGAAGATGGACAAGAAGCAGTTGAAATGGCACTACAAGCAGGCAAGAAGAATTGTTGCAAAGGCTATGCTCTTATTCTAATGGACCTTAATATGCCAGTAATGGGAGGAATCGAAGCATCTAAGAGACTGATCAAACATAAATTGTGAACTGAAGTCTTACCGCATTGAAAAATTATAGCAGTTACTGCTTTTGTATCGGAATTAGAAAGGGAACGATGTCTTCAAAGCGGAATGAATGATTTCATACCAAAACCCTTCAAACTTATAGACTTCTTAAGACTTGTAATTGTCTAAAGAATATATTCACCTTGTACATGAAACAGAAAATATTTGGTAAAACTTGCCAACAAGATACATAGCAACACTTGTTCTCTTTAAGAATTTAAATAAAAATTGGCTGTTTGAATTGTATTTTAGACTATAAAATAGTGTTCTCTTGGAAATCTAGAGCATTAAAAATGCAATATACTAAAATAGCAATACTTCACTTCTAATTTTGATTCGTTCAAAATTGGTAGAAAGATTTAGCTAAAGTAGAGATTTCCACAAAGATTAGTTTCAAATATTTTAAGGCCCTAAGGGGTTTTGGGGTTTTGGGGTTTTGGGG